AGTCAAATGAGGAATGAGTAGAAAAAACAGATGCTATATACTTATTATCTGGTCTTGTCACAAAGGGCAATAAAAGCTAGCAGTATTTTTTTTTTTTAGGGGTTTTTGCCTTAGAGCGCATGCCTAGTGTGAGTTTTAAGCCACTAGGTCCGGGACTTGGATCATAGTTGACCATGTGGGAGTTCAGTGATGTAACCGCTATGCTCTGGAAGCTGGCAGTATTTTAAAAAAAAAACAACAAAAAACCAAGAGATTTGTGTTACAGAGCGTGTGTGCTTGCCAGAGAGACAGAGACATACAGAGAGACAGAGAGTGAAAAATCACCCCCTGGGGTATGGCCAGCTGCAATCCCTTCTCCTCCATTCTCCTTTCAGGATCTTGGGCACGCACGCACACATGCCCAACATGAGTTTTAAGCCTCGGGTCTGCAACCAGAACCACAGTCAATTACATGGGAGTCCAGCGATGAAACAATTACGTCATTTACTGGTCCCTAAGCTGGCAGTATTTTTAAGAGCAGTAAAAAAAAGAAGAGATGAATCTGCAGTTCTTGATGAACACTATACCCAAAGTCCAGAGCCAGTGATTATGACCCAGGCAAGAGTGGAATACACAATAACCATTCTGAAAGAGCATGAAAATAGGAATGAGGACGAGATATCCATTTCTAACTATGTGAAGGTGTAAATACCAGTACCTGAGACAATTTGAGCCTAGTGCCACTTGGATCACAGTTGGCCATGTGGCCAATAAGTAAAAAAAAGAGTTCTGAGAACCCAAGTGATAAAAGTTGAAAATACAAAGAAACCTTAAACTTAATACAGATATAGGTACATGGTATTGGGTCATTAGAAAAGCCATGACATATTTTTTATGTTTTTCTATGCAAAGACATGTCATGACTTTTCTGATGACCCAATATATTTGGTTATATATGCAAACTAATATTCACACATTTTTAAATACATAAATCCACAAGGCTAGGTATAAAACAAAAAATTAACCTTGGACACTGTATTTTATTTATTTTACTTTGATGGAGACAGTTTGGATAAGCATCTAATCTACATATTCTTCTGAGAATTCTGGGCTATTAGGATTAACCAACATCTTATTTATACAAGCCTAAATTTTTTGGGAGAAATGATAAAGGAGACTCTGCAAGTAACTGATGGTTAGGCTACCAAGATTATGACTTTCAAAAAGGAAAGAAAACGTCTGCCCTAACTTGAGCGGAGATCAAAGTGCAAGAATAGGGGTGCTAGAGTACTAGAGGCACCACTAGAATATAAAGAATGGACAAGAAAACTCCTTCAGTGCAATTGCCTAGCTTTGGAATACTACTGGATTGTCAGGAAAGTCACTATGCATTTTTGCACAGAGAAACAGAAAAATACTTCAGGACTTTCCCAACAACCTAATAGCTTTATTCAGGAAGAAATGCTTTTCATATGACACTGGGTGATGCCACTCGAAAGCTCCCTGACCCAGGCCAGCCCCTAGGGAACAATTATGGAAAGGAAAAGTTCACAGAGCAATGGAAGGGAGCAGTGCTAGAGGATCAGGATGACCAGAAAATGGTATAAAATATTCTAATCTCGGGCTAGCAGATGGCATAGTGGCTACATTGCTGAACACCCACATGGCTGATGGCAGTTCAAGCCCTGGACCCTGAGGCTTCAAAATCATGCCATAAGCATGTGTACATGTGTCTAAGATCCTAGGAGAAGAATGAAGGAGAAGGGACTGAGGCCATCCCTCCTGGGGGGGTGATTTCTCACTTTCCCTCTCACTGTCTTGTCTTTCTTTCTCCCCAGCAAGCACATGTGCCCTTAGGCAAAAACCTCTAAAAAAATAGTTCTAATCTCTAATGGGATACCTTTGCTAAATGCAGCATCAGAATTAGAGGGTGGGTATCAGCAGTTGCAAGAGCCAAGTTGGAGGCTGGTGACTCCAGCTGAAATATTTCTGGCATTCTCGCCTATGTCCTGTCCCTAAGGACGGTGTGACCTGGCAAAACAAGAAATAAGAGTGGCTACTATAATCTCTTCTTACATAAAACCATTGATTTGGAGGAAATAACAAGGACTACTCAACATCTAAAGCTAGAAGTGTCTCCCTGATAAGGACTTCTGTGACAATAGGTCACAAAAGTAAATCATACTCAGTAAACCACGTTGGTGAAGAATGTGTGTGTGGTTTGATAAAGTCCATTTAGTCCAGGTACCCAGATTGATACCAAGTATCTAGTCCTATTCTAGAAAGAGCCAGAAAAGGAGAGTTAGTGTTATTCCAAGAACCCAGAATCTGTGCTCATCAAAATGTTCCTGTCAGGTCCAGTGTGTGATATGGTGTTTAAGGCACTGGATTCCCACATGGCCCACTGCAGTTTAGAGTCCTAGATCCTGTGGCTTGAAAATCATGCTGGGCATGTTTCCATGCATGCCTCAAATCCCAAGAGGATAGGAGGGCAAACTGCAGCATATCTCCTGGGGATGATTTCTCACTTTTCCTCTCTGACAAGTGCAAATGTCCTATGGCAAAAATAAATAAAAATAAAAATAAAAATAAATGCTCCTGACAAACTTCAAATTTCATTTCTTCTCCACGAAAACAAAAAAAGGCTCTTAAGAATGTTGGCTTCCCTGAAACTTATAAAGACTTTAAGTAAAGTGAAACTTGACTACATCGATTTCTATCTGCACCACAGTGCTTTTAATATTCAAGACAACATAAGTAAACAGACAGCTAAGAGATTTAATACTTTGTCTTAGTATATCCTGCCAATTCAGAAAGTAAATACTCTTGCAAGCCGTTAACCAACAACTAAACCAAATAAGGTATGGTTGAAAAATTTTAAGTGCTTACTTTTTAAAACATTGAGCAAGGTACACAGTCTACTTAATTTTTCAAAGAGTATACATTTTCAAAATCTAACCTATGTCCAGTTCTGAGAATTAGCAATCAATTAGGATCTCATCTGCTCAACTTTATGGCCTATTTAAGTATCCCTACAATTTCAACATCCAAGTACAATCAATAATGCAACTAGTTTCATAACTTATACAATTATTTATATGAGTTGCAGAAACCAAGGGCTAAGCACCAGAAACAAATTTTTAATTGGAAAAACATTTAAGGAAGTTACAGTCCAGATGCTGTTCAAAACTTAGAATTAAAACATTGTGATCACACAATATTTAATGAGATATTCATCTCTGAATCTTCGTTTTTTTCCCCCGAACCCTAATAAGAACACACATCCAATGTTAAAAAGCTCTTTAAAAACAATACAATCCTAGAGCTTACAGGAATTGTAATTTATATTACTATGTTTAAAACTGGTTATTTAAAGGATTTACACGTTCGTATTTTCTCGTGTAGTGAAAACAAAATAATCGGGGGCAGGGGGCTTAAGTTTCAGTTTAGGAAAAGTTCACAGATGACATTTTTAAAAATACCAAATATTTCTAGTGAAATGTACTGGACTTCACTTCATGGTCATTACTATACTGTTTGCTCCATTTGTGAAAAACCTATTTGAGCAAGTTAACAGGTTTCTAATGACTCAAGTTCGCTGAAAATTCAGAACAAAAAAGTCACCTTCGCATGAATTTACGAAATCGGCAGTGCGCGTCTCATTTCTGAGCTCCCTTAGTCGTGGGGGATAACGGCCAATACAAGACCTCCAAACGGCAGTAAAGCGACCCTGGACAAGTTATGTCTGTAGCCCTCCCTGCAGGAGACACCTGGCCAGGCGC